AAAAACAGCTATGAATATAATTTTTTCAACATTTCCATCGGTCAAGATATGACAGCTCAGAAGGAACTGCATGTGAAAATATTACAAGCTTCTTTGACAAGTCAACATAGTAAAACAACAACTGTGTAATTCTATAAGAAGTAATTTTTTTAGTCATTTTTTGAAGAAATTAATGGCTTCTTTACGGGTATCAACATGTTTTGATGTATTGAAAGGTTATTACTCTCAAATCCATTGTGTGAGTTAGCCTCCAAGTATAATTTTCAACTAAATATAGGGTTTTTGTGCTCTACACCAACAGTAGTATAATTTATTATAAAAAATTGATTAATAGAATAAGTTTTAATTATAAGTAATTATGTTATAATTTAATGGTGTTTGAATAGTATTTTTTGAAATTAATTTTCATAAATTTAAAATGTTTGAATAATTTTTATCAAAATTAATTTAACATGTTTAAATTACAATAAAGAACGTGAGTTTTAGGATAAATATTGATAAAATTGCTTATAATATCATTAAATTTATTTTTTATTTATTTAACAAAAAAATATAATACTCATTTATATAGTTATTTAACACATATGATAAACAATATAAATTTAAAATATATTATATTATATTATAATGTGAATAACTTAATCTATACAAAATGAAAAGGAAAGCATCACCCAAAAAGAAGAGGAGCATGGTCTTCATCTATGAATCATCTCACCCACCTTCTCTCAATTAACACCTTGACTCCCATTACCTTGTCAAGCCACCTCTGTCTCTACATTTTCTATTGAAGGCACACATTAATAGATTAGAACGAGGAAGATGAAATCACAAATCATGGAAGAAGAGTTGCAGGTCGAAGAGGAGGGTGTCAGAGATTTGAACGATGTTCATGGTAGAGTGAAGAGGGAGGTCACACTGTTGGAATATTATTTATGAATTAGCATTAATTAATAAGCTCAATAAATTGGTCCTTATGATCTTGTGTGGACCGTGATAGGTAGACCACACAAGTGAGCCCAATGGGCAAAGGCTCAACCCACAACCCAGTAGCCGTCAGTTATTTCCTATCTCTTAACTGACTGAGTCAGAGATAATAGATAATATAATTATTTAATTATATTAATAAGGCGGTTACCGATCTGATCTATATAAGACGATTAGTCGGTAATCACAAACACGATGACTCATTCTTTTACTTCAATTATCTCTGAACTCTCTGAAGGCTCTGGGGATTTGTGGGTTGTGTACCTGCCTATACTCGAGGTAATCGAGATTTCTCTAGCACTCATGGATTCTTCAGGTATGCATGAATTACTTTATTCTATCATATTTACTATACATATGAATTGAGATAATTAGATTCAACACACACTTGAATGCTAGCGGTCACTGGAGGAAGAAGATGCAAACACGTTCTTGTGAGGATGCAGGTAAGATCAGAGAATGATCGGTAGAAGGATTTAGTCATGATCCATACAATGAAAGGGCTATCTCCAGCAGATTCAAAATTTTAACAAAAAATAAATGTCCCAAAAATTATAATCGATCTTGAGAAGTACGAGCGATCAACTTCAACCAGAACGCCATTTAAGGTAAGATAATCAATCATGTGAAAGAAGAGGTGTTTGGATAATTTTTATGGAAACATGATTTTCGTACAAATAATTAATTTTGAACACAAATCCACCCAGGCACCGAGTGATTGAAAGTTTAGTTCTTGACCCTTTGTGTTAAACAAATCTACTTAGAAAAATGTATGACATGAACATTATGTCATGGCTAAGTTTCTTCAAACTTCAGTAACAAAAAGTCCTAATATGCAAGTATCCCCATGTCTTGAGTAACAGTTAAAAGCAGAAGCATGGGCTTTGTTGAGGAACCTCCATATTGCTGTGGATACAGGGTATTTAAGAGTTATTTTTGAGTCTGATTTGAAATTATTGGTTGATACTTTAAAAAGCGATGTCTTTAGACAGGACATATCAACATTGTTATGATGGAGATCAAAGAAATAGTGAGAGCTCAAGAGAGTTTTCAGATAAGATTCATCTCAAATGACAGTAATCGTGCTGCTGATGTAATGGCAAAGAATAGATTTAATGAATCACAAATTTATGACACAGGCCCAAACTTCATATAAGGGCCCTAATTCAAAATGATATTTTGGGATTAAATTCTCAACTACTTTGATTTTATTTGTAATTTTGGGCTAGTTTCCTCTTTTTATGTCCCAAAAAAAAAAAAGTCATTTTACGAGTATACTTGCTTCCTTAATTTGCAACAATTGGAATTTTCAAAAACACCCGGTCTTCTGCAATCATCTAGAAAATCTGAGTAGTCTGCAACTTTTTTAAAAAATGGCTTGAAATTCACGTAAATTTGATTTTTTAACGCTATTCCCAATCTTGCACACCACGTACCCTCCATCTCTCTCTCTCGCGCGCGCGCGCACAAAAACAAATACTACAGCTCAAGGTTAAATCTGTGCATAAAGGCTCCATATATCAAGACCAAAACTTGTCTCAAATTTGCAAAACCCTGTAACCCCAAGAATTTGATGTTCATAGAAGGTCTGAAAGAAGCAAAGAAATCTCACAAGCAAGCGATGCCATCCACTGAAGCCAAAGTGATCGACGAAAGTCCTCTGAGAAAAATCCCAATTCTGGAAAGCGGCATGCTCGAGGATGATTTCGGGGACATGTGCGATGGGTACTATGGATTTCAGACAGAAACAGGAGAATCGGCTGATCCGAGGATTCTGAGGTTGCTGGAATTCTTCAGGCACCTCTATCACCGAAGAGCAGAGACGTTTCAGAAGATTGTTCCTTCTGGTCTTCAAGAGGATTTTGTGGAACTGTTCGACAAAATTGGAGCTTTGTTCTCTGGGATCAAATCGAAGCACAAGACGAAGACAGTTCAGAGAAGTTTGAGCGTGGGCCAACGGTCACTTGGTGGCGATTCTGATTTGAAGTTGAATCGATTTAAGGTGAGAATCGTTCATGTAGATAATGACAACGTTGGTGAGAAGGGTAATAATACAAGCGCTGGTAAGAATGTCAAAGGAAGATGAAGATATATACAACTAAATTTGATTGCTACGTTGATGCTTGTAGGTTGTGAGGAGCAGGAACACAAAATACATGTAAATTGTAAAGTATTGCGCGCGAGCTCTGTAATTCCTTATTTGATTCCTTTTTTCTTTTTTTTTTTTTTTTACTTTTTTTAATATTCATATAAATTTTTTTTCACCAACATATTCATATACTTTCATTTTTGTAAATAATGACCCGGCGGATTGGATAAGATATCTGATTTTTACATTCTTTAATTTCCTCTACCCTTTTATTAAGGTTGATGCCATTTAAGTACGGTTCCTTTTTTTTTTTTTTAGCAAAGTGTTGTTCCTTGGTGATTAACAAAGTCATGATTTTTTTTTTTAGGTACTCCAATGTGGTATCTAGTCTCAAATAGAATTACTTTTAATAATGTACAATAAAAATATGATTATTTACAGAGTAATATATGTATGTATGTATGTATACCTTCTTTGATTTTTAATATAAAATAAATTTTAAAAGTTTTTTTTGTCTTTAATATAATGCAAAGTTAGAGTAATTAATTTTATTTTTTTTAATTTTACCCTTATATATTTATTATGGTTTGAATTCCTAGACATCAATTTATTAGGATTATTAATTATAAATAAGGATAAAATTAAAATATTACATATTTCTTTTATAATTTTAAGAATATACTCCTCCGTTTCAAATTATAGGGCATTTTTAAAAAAAAATTTTTATCCCAAAATATAAGACACTTTGAGTAGATTAAGATTTCATTAAATATATTAATTTTAATATTATCCTTTTTTTATAATTAATTTTCATCCCTTTTCTTTTCAATATATTAAATGATGAGTATTTTTAAAAAATTTTATTTTTATTTTAAAAAGATAATATTATTAAGTATATTTAATGAGGTTTATTAGTATGTGAGATTTTATTTAAAAATATTTTATAATTAAAATAGAGGAAGTAATAATATTTTTTAATAAGGTGAAGTTAATTAATTTTGTCTTATATTAGGTACCACAAGAAATTAAATAGATAAGTACTTGTGTGTGTGTGGTGTGTGTGTGTGTAAAGAAAGCTAGTGAAGGGAAAGTTATAAGAATTATTTCCGCTTTTCACTTTGAGAATGGTACATCTTACTGTATACTCTACTCGATCCTTAATGTAGGATGCATTTTAAAAATATTTGTTGATTTTTATTATGAAATATTTAACGAGATATTAATTATATTTTTTTAAATATTATATTTATTTGAAATCATAAAATACAAAAGAAATTTAATATAAATTTAAATTTTTTTATTAAAATAAATATAAAATTAAAAGTTTATTTTAATTTTCAAATAAAATTAATAATTTAATTATCTTTTTATTTGATTTCGTTGAAATAGTTGAAGGTGTTTTATTGGACAAGAAAAGTATATTACTGTTTGCATTTATTTTTTGTGGACAATCTTCTCAAACATTAAGTATGTATTTAATTTTCAGTTATATATTTGATAAAAATTAATTTAAAAAATCCAACTATTTATTAATTTTGATAAAATATATAAATATGATTTGAATTACTTTTTAAGGTTCATGTTCTTTATTAAGTGAACATTATAGATAATAATAGTTTGAACTTCTCAAATATTATTTGAAGATTTATTTTTTGAAGAAGTGTATAAAAAAATTATTAAATAGAAAACAACTCTTTAAATAACGTTTACTAAATTTTTTGAGTAATTAGTTTCAGAGTTGTCGGCTATTGAAATATTTTGGGTAACCAACGAAAAAATAAAAAAGGTCCGCTTCTTGCATGTGACATTCCAAATAATGAAAAAGTGGGAAAGTTTAACACGTGGGACACAGATAAGACATGAGTACGATGCTTTGATTCAGCGCCAGAAATCCAGCGATTTCCTAATTTCAGCGTGCCATTCAGATCTCAAATCCACGTCCATCAAATGACACCTTTCTCCGTATTCCCAATCCAGCGCTGTCCTCTCCCAGTCCCATCCACTTCACTCTCTCACTTCCATGGCCTCTCGTCTTCCCCCTTTCATTTTCACTATTCAATACGACAGTCCAAATTCCAAAATTACAATTCCTCCTTTCTTTCCTCTCAACAGGAAATAAAGATTCTCTGTGATTGACAGCCCCTTCTTGGTTTACTCCGTTTTCTCTCGCCTGTGAGTGTCACTAGAACATGGCACCGGGGCGACCACGACGCCTATTTCTTCGCAATCATTTGGAATTTCTTGTCTGATTTCTTCAGACAATGGACGGCCTGAGAGCTCGGATGTGTTAGTTTTTTTGGTTTCATTGGTTTTCGTTTCGATTTTGAATTTGGGTTGTTCGTATGGGCAATTTTGGTCGTTATGATATCTTCTGGGTTAACTTGGTGATGACTGTGATTGGATTTGCGATGAGCACTATGTTCATCGTTTTCGTTTGCACTAGACTTATATGTGCTCGAATTCACTTGAATGCTTCTCGCCGATCCCTCCTTATTGCTTCCAGATCCGATCTGAGTCTGGTAAACGTCAGTTTTCCTTGTTTCGACCTCTTTTTTCTTTGTTTGCAATACAGATTTTACAGTCGCAAACTTTGGAGCTTAGTTAAAAATTTTCTTAAGTTGTATTGTTCAATTATTTTACAAAATTATGTTACTGAATCACATTTTGTGAATTTGCCCTTTCATAACAGCGCTTTATTTCCATTTAGTGCATTTCATTTGTTCTGAGGTTTTACCCATTGAACATCTTCCCGTGTTCAGCTGGAGCGGGGATTTCATGGTCTTGAACCCACATCAGTAGAGAACTTCCCAACGAAGAAGTACAGTGATGGATGCTTTGCTGCTGCAGAAAATTCTCAGTACGTTCATTTCTCTGTTTTTGGAATATTATCATCATCTTAACATCCAACTTTTTCCCCTCCTGCTCTCTCTTTAATGTAGGAGGGGTGCATAGTGGATGAGTGTATATTAACTTGGAAAGTATTGCTCGGTGCTTGATGATCCGATTTATGCCTATTTAGTTTGTTCCAAATTCAGGAAAAAAGTTGATTTCAGACTTGGAATCTACGTTGCTCATTAGTCATTTAATTGTTTTAAAAAATTACTATAAGAAAGATTGAGACTGGAGTTGGTAATGAAGAAGTCAAATCTGAACATTGCCATGGTCAATGAAGGACTTGTACGAGTAAATGAAATGTACTCCCTGGTTTTATGGCCTTCTATGGTATTAGTTTAGATGCTATATGTTTGGTCCCTTGTTAATTTGTTAATCTATTGACAATGTCTGTCTTCTGCGGTTCTGCCACATGAAAAGGCTGATTATATACATTTGATTCTCCCTGCACTTTCCGCGTCCATTGTGAAGTTGCAGTTATACAAGGGAAAAGTCAATACACTTTTGAAAATTACTTGATATTCATTTTACTATTTGAATTATTGATAAAAGTATTTCTAGTGAAGCTGGGAAAGAGTCAGGGTAATCTTACAATCCCAAGTTGAAGAAGTTAGGAAAAAGGAACTCGTTGTATTTGGTATAAGCATCATCGGTCTCGTGAATGTTCTGTGCACCATTGCCCTATCTTCCAATTCATGTCATTTTGAAGATACGAGTCTGCAATATTTAACATGTTCCTATATTTGCATTTACAAAATGGCCTTATTCCCTTAATTGGAAGATATTATCCTTGTTGTGACTTGATCCAAGGATGTGAAGAATAATCCATGTTCTTTCGGCCCCATTTTGACGGAAATGATTTTTCCCCCTTAATTAGTGCCCATTTTTGTTATGGTCGTTTGTATGGTTAGCATACTGGAGACTGGAGAGCCTAGAATGGTTACATAGGTGATGCTGAGCTCTTTCCTTGAATAGCTGAGAAAAAGCTTTCTATGTTATGCTTTTCAGAGAAAGTGTCTATTAGTTCCTTTATTTCTCATGGTATAGACAGAAGATAGTGTGTTTACACTAACTGGATTAGGACTATTGTTCTTTAGCAGTGTTTCACAGTTTAATATTATAATCTTCTTCTGTTCACTTACTGCACTTGTGCTGATTGCGTGATATAACTTATTTCTTTCTCTTGGCGTTTTTGTTTGCACTGATTAATGGTTCTGTATTTTTTAATTGAATATCTCATCAGTCATCACCTTGTTCCAATTTTCTAGCATGGCTTTGGCAGTGGGTTAGACTCCTTTACTCCTGTAAAAGTAATCTATACAAACACTAGAGTCTAGAGATCACTACAGTTTCTTATAAGTTCATCGTGTGAAAAATTACTTTGTAGATTGGGGCAATTTTTGAATGATACTGATATGTGTATATTGTCCTTTCAGATAAGTATATCTTGCTTATGAACATTTATATTTGTTGTATTTGTAGATGTACAGTTTGTCTCTCTGAATACCAAGGTGAGGATGTACTGCGCATCCTCCCATATTGTGGACACTTCTTCCATGCAACCTGCATAGACCTATGGCTGCAGCAGCATTCGACATGCCCTGTATGTCGAATCTCTTTACGCAAATCATCGGAGAGAAAGCGCGTAATGCAGCCATTATTTAGTGCCGTTGTTCAATCTAATTTTGGCGTGGAATCTATTCCCACTCATCCTTTTCACTGTATGATGGCTAATGATAATGAGTTATCATCAAGAAACCTGGACATGCATGGTGTGAACCCTGTACAAGAGGATCATTTTGCACCTGAAGGTGGTGGAACCGTTGGTACAGAGAATGCCACCAATATAAGTCATGGTGATCAGTCCATGAAAGATACAGGAAAGAAGCATTTAGACAGCACATCAATAATCCCCTTAAGCTAATGTGGTCTGAACACAAAATTGAGGTAGGGTTGCAGTAAAATGCAAATGGAAGCTGATGTGGTCTGAATACAAAATGGTTGGAGTAAAATGCAATTGGATGCTGGGGGCTGCTTCTTGCTTTTTACTGTCAATTAATTTACTGTACATTTGGTAGAGATTTTCTTCTTGTCTCACTGTCTTCTTTCTTGCTTTTTCCTCCTAGACATTGGATGTTAGTTTGCATTGAAGGGTTGTAATTCCTCTCTTTCTCATTCATCTGACTTTTATATGGAGCTGTTCACTGGTAGGGGAATGACACTTAAATCTCAAAAACTGAATTTAATGACAGTTAGGTTTTAAAATTATTAATTTTGTAGTTCCACTTCCTTTTTTCGGTTTTTTTTTTTTTGGGGGGGGGCGCCGGAGTATTTCCACTTTAGTATCAACATTTGTAAACACTTAATACCCTTTCTTATTCTATTTATAAGTCATTTTTTTCACATTTCATTAGAATTAAGAAAAATTTTAAATCTTAATTCTGTTTTAAACTTTATTAAGTTTCTACCACTATCCTTGATAAGGACATTTTTATGACTTTTTTTAACATATAATAAAGATAAAAAGATAATGAATATAAAAAAATAGTGAAGTGTTATATAAATTAGATCAAAATTAATAATTTTTTTTACTCTGTAAATAAAACTAAAAGAGTATGGTATAAAAGATCTGATCAGATTATGAAAAGACATGCCGACTCCCTTTTTATATTCAAAAGGGTTTCGTGTCCTGTCCAAGTGGCTGGCTTTAATCTAGTATAAAAATGAAAAATAGAATCATGTTTAGTTTTGGCTATCTTAGTGAATATGGGAAACCATGCAGAATAGATTTAATGTCACTTCTCATGTTGGACTTATTAGTAATCTTTTCAGTGCTATTTATAAGATAGAAAAAAAATTTATTCTATTTATAAATCATATCAATTAATTTATCATCACAAGTTTTTCTTTTTTTTACCTATTAAATTTTAGTGAGAAGAAATATGTATAGCTAACAGGCAAAATTAAAGACTTAAATAAAATTAATAAATTTTAGTAGTTTTTTTAATTTTGGTTAGACATGTTAAAAAACACTTATAAATAGAAGTGGGAGGAGACAAATTATTCATGATAGCAAAACCTTAAAAAGTCGTCCTTAAGTAAATCCAGCAGCGCGGGTGGTGTTATAAGAATCAAATCCTCTTGACGCTACTCTCTGAGTGAAGATGTAGCAATTGAATATGTCACCAATTCAGCTTTGGATTCCAAAATACATGAAAGGCCATATCTTGTTCGCCATTTGATCCCATAATGGTTGGAAAATTCCGGTGGCATAGTGGAAGTACATGATGGAGGAGGTTGACGCGTCTGAATGTGATAGAAGAGTGAAGAAGGGAAAATTGGAACAGTTGAAATGATAATAATAGTAAGGGAGAATGACAAAGATATTGCTAACTTACGTCTTAAATCTCAAACTTTAAGAATTTATGAATTTGACTCTTAATTTCATAATTTTTTGTGATAAATTTATAATTTGTGTTTTAAATTTTAATATTTATTTATTTTTAACATGATAAAATTAAAAAAAAGTTATAAATTTATTATAATAAAATTATAAAATTAAAAGATAAATTTATAAATTATTAAAATTTAAAACTTGAGATGTAAGTTAAAAACTTATCTATTATTTTCTAATAATAAATGCGACAGTTGCGGTCAATAACTTCTTCCAACTGCTTCCCCACTCTTCCCGAGCCCTACTTTCACAAGTGCCGTTCTTGCACATTTAATGCCCCACAAATTAGACATGGAAAAACAAGCAAACAAAGCAACTATCTTACTTGGATCCTCAAACATCATTTTATAATAGTCATCCCATAAAGTCTTTCACTAATAGATCTGTTGCTAATTTAGATTTAAATAATTGTAAACTAATAAAGTCGTGAATACAAGTTCGACTTGTCAAGTGTCAAGCTATCTATTTAATTGTTCTTTGCAGAATTTTTAATTTAAAAGAGCTTTTGTACCTAGCCCCAAATTTAATTAGTAAGCATCAAGCTTAAAAAAAAAAAATGCTATATTTGAGGTGACAAGACTTCTAAGTCTAAGCCCATATAAGTGGAGCTTACCTTCTCCGAGTTTTACATATTCTAATGAGTTACAATTGAAATTTTCATATTTATATTTATAATTATTTGAATTTATATTTACAACTAATTTTTCATTCAAAATTTTTTGGACATACTCTCTATATCTTTATATATAAAGTGTTTTTATTTAAATTTCACATACTAATAAAATTTTATTATTTAATTGAAATCACATAACATTAAAATAATTTTTTTAATTTTATTTTTAATAATGTCAGAATTGATATCATAATAGTAGTGAGTAAAGTATATAATTAATATCTCTTCTCTTTTCAAGACAATGGTAAAATTGTTTAACTACTTAAAAATATCATAACAACTCTTAAATTTAAGGATAAAATAAGTTTTTATAAAATACTCTATATAAGGGACGGGGATAGTAATTGTCATAAAACTGATCTTTTACAACCTAAATTTTATTCCCCCTAAATTAAGTTTATTATTTATTGGCCTTGAAAAAGGGCTAGAAGAGTTGATGGGATGACAATTGATGACTATTTTTCAACATGTTGTTCTTGAAAGAGATATATTGAGGAGTGTGTGGAGAGGATCCAAATCCCTTGGTGAGCACTCCAATAAATTTAAAAAGTGAGGGATGCATGTAGATGACTAATGTGAGATTTGCAAGGATGCTGTAAAGGATATCACACATAAGCTACATGAGTGTCCAAATACAAAAAGATTTTGGTTGGAGACTATTGATCCCAAGGACATACAAGCTTGCTTTGGAGTAGAGCTTAAGGAGTGGATTAGATTAAATGTGCAATCTCAGCAAGCTCAGTGCGGAGCTCCATGAAATTCCTACTTCTCTATAGTGTGTTAGTTGCTTTGGCAAAGAATGAATGAGATAATTTTTCAAAATAAAGCTACTACTAATGTTGCTATTAATTCTTAGATCTTAGCTATTATGAATACCTTTATGGAGTGCTGAAGAAAGCTCAAGGTACTGTATGGAGAGAAACAAGATGGACCTATTCTTGATGGGGCCTGAAGTCTATCGATAGACAATTAGTTAAAGTTTAATGTGGATGGTGCTTTCTCCCACTCACATAGCAACTCTAGATGTGAGGATTATTTTGTGACTCTACAGGCACGATTAGAGAAAGCTTTCTTTACAAAATGAATGATGGAAATTCGCTTTTTGCTAAATTGTGGGCTTATATATAGTGTAACATATCAAATTTTAATCCCCACATTAATTAAGCTTAACCATGATAATTAAGAAAATTGATATGATGTGTGGCTATAGAGGTCTAATAATTAATTTTGGTTGTGTTACGGCCTTAATTTATGGGTCTTGTGTGAAGTTGGGCCAACCAATCATTGGAAGGAGAAGAAAGCAAAGATGAGGTGTTGTTGTGCCACATGTCGTGTCGTCAAAAACGTTCGCCGCGGTGCATAGACACAATTGAAAAGAGAAGGGGTCCTCTTTGAAGATTAATAGTCACAAACTGAAGCAAAAAAATAGAAAGTAAGGAAAAGGAAATGAAGAAGACAACAAGAAGTTGTGCAAGGGTTCGTATTAAGGTGATATTTAGGACATTTTGGAAGTTAAAAACACCAAAGGTAAGTATCATACCCCTTAATCTCCCATTCTCTTTCACATTTATGGAGTTTTTAGTTAGGGTTTGACAATGGTAGATGATTTTCAGTCTATATATTAAGTTTGATACTTTTGATTGTTTGGCCTCATTATTATATGAATTTAGCGTTAATGAGGTTTGTTGGAAGAGTTATAATGCCATTAATAAGAGTCTAATAGCTCATTGATGTTATTGTGAACTAAAGAAAGTTAATAAATCTAATAGGTAAGTCTAAGAGTTAAACTTATGAATGTTAGGTATTGTAGAAGTGGATAATGAAAGCGGAAATTATGTGCTTGATATTGATAATGAAATTTAAAATTGGCTACATATAAATTGAGCTCTTATACACCATTATGGCTCAGAAGCTTAGAATATTAAGGGACAAACCTTTAATATATCAAAGGTTTAAAGTAATCGAGGGAACCTATTTTGAATAGTTATATGTTAATTGATTGTTGGTTGTGATTGTGAATGTTATATGTATGAATTAAATTTCGATGTGAAAGCATGTTATTAGTCTTGATAAATGTTTGAGATATGTTTGTGTATAATGTTATAATTAATTTGAAATGTGAGAAAAGCAAAAAAAAGACTTTTTTAACCATGAACATGTAAATGATTTGAGATGAGGAAATGTGATAATTGTGTGTGTGGATGAATTTATGTGATATAGGTAAAAATGATTTGGATGCTCACTTGGGTAGCAAATTTATGTGAACCCAACGTCTTAATAATGAAAATTGAGATTGTAAAAATAGTGAGCATCGTATATGGCATGATCAATGGGTAGGAGTCCGCTTAAGGATTGAGAGTAGTTAAAATTCATATGATATTTAAGCTGTCTTCCGATATATGGGGTATAACTTTATCCCATAGTTTGTTGAGAGATTAGAATCTAGCTATCTCTATGAGTTTATCGAGGAGATTAGCTTAGGATATACAACATCTCAGAGATTCGAGAGTAGGGGAAGCCATGATCCGAGAGTGAGTCATGTGATCTTTAACTGGTTTACACCTCATGATTGGTGAGTTTGGGTAGTCCAGTCACACAGATAAAACCCTATTTAGTGTTACAGTCTACGGTTTTAGCCGGAGGAAACAAGGATGGTTGATTATTGCCTATGTAAACCTATAACGTGTTACGTGATTAAGTTGTGGCAAATCATGTTAATATATCAGTTCATGGTCACATGTCTGTGTGTCTTATGACAATGTACTTAGTATTATGAGATAAAAATGTGTTAATTGGAATGACAAGTTATGATATGTGTTTAAGCATGTTTTAAGAACTTTATTTTCTATGCATGTGTTTAATTTCAATTGATATATAATTGCATAGGGTAAATTTTACCTTGATTACTGAGTGGCTAGACTCACCTCTTTTATTTAACATGTTATGGGCTCTAGCTCTGATACAGAGAGGGAAAAAGCTCAAAAGGCTTAGGAATTAGTACATTCCTATTATATACCTCTATGTTAAGCTAATTATTTTGTATAATAGAATATTATTGCCAATTTAGGTTGCATTTTGTTTAAACTTGCACTATATAGTTGTTTTAAACCTCTGGATTGTATTTTGGGCCTTGAGTAATTA